GCTTGTGTCGTTTTTCGTTCGTTGATTCGGGGTTGTGCTGCCGCGACTGTTCGCTGTTTTCTACCGCTTTCGTGGCTGTTTGGCTTCTTTTTCGAGTGGAAAATCATTAAAAAGCTGCAGGGCCGACTCTCTCGTTTCCTGCCACCAAGATGCAGGCGAAGCTACTCAAAGTGCAGGCGACGGACCGTGTACGGTTGCAAGGTAGCCACCTGACAGTACCCTCGAGCTAATCAGGAGAATTCTGGCCAGTCAGGTAGTTAGCTCCCGCGTTCGATTCCTCGTACTACGTCACTGCCGTCACTCTCTGGCAAAATATATAATGGTATGGATAGGTTGGGCTGTTTTTTACACTCTCTTGCTTCGTGACCAGCCTCGTGTACGCCCTTCAGGTGTGAACAATCCGGGTCGCTGCTCGGTATTTTTGAATCGGTAGAACGTGTTGTGTGTATTAGGTAATAGATAACAGCAGTTTTATACATAATGATAATTGCTATAGAAATCGCCGTTACGGTTGTTGCCGACATACGCGATGTATATACATAAAGGCGAACATCTGGGTCTGGGTCGTAGTGATGCTTACAATGATCTAAAATAACTTCCCCGTCTTTTGACAGTATATCAAAAATAAAGCACACAATTTTTGGCGTAGACATGCGTTTGTTCCTTTCTTCGAGCGCAGTTTCTCAAATGAATGAGAGGTTAGCTTGATAACAGAGAACTTTGTTTCCTTTTGGCTATTTCTAGGGGCAAGTGAGTTGGCTTAGATCGACTTTTGCTGGCTGATTATGGCATCTATAAAATATTATGCAGTCTTTTATGATACGATAATAATGTTGTAGTGACTCTTACGCATCGCTCCTTCTTCTTTTACACCGATGTTGTTTCTTAGTTGCAATGATGTTGGTTGCTGAGGGCTTTAGTTATTGTACCTGCTAGCTGGGTTTCACTGGGCCTGTATTTGATCATGATACTATTCATTAATCCTATTTTCTCCTGAAGATGAAAGCATATCAATGTATTTCGTACGCCCATGTAAATATGTATTTTGTATCAGTTATAAAGTTGATTACTTTTCTATATAGATGATAGGTTTGGCTGGATATTTTCAGTTGTAACCAACTGAGGCCTTGTACGTGCTTCGAAATTGCTTAAAGCCAACTTTCGGCTGTAGACAGAGCATTAAATTCCATTTTTGGAGCATTGGGCCCTACAGGACCAGGTTTCTGCTGTAGATATTTGTTAACCAACGCCTGTTCTATTTGCTAAATTCGTACCATAATCTGCGTCGCTGTATCCGTACGCTGCCAGTGTTCTCTGTGGCTATTTAGGGCCCCTAAATCTGATAAATCTGTAATTTCTGGCGTCATTAATAGAGTGAAGTATTCGCACCTCGTTGATCCAGTGGTACTCGACCAAGTAAGTTATCGAGCTATGATAAAGCGAGGCCTATGATAAAGTTGAAGGCCTGTCGGCTAGCCATACACAATAAAGATAATAAACTGCAGATTAAGTGTCATTGCTTGTTAGTTGCTGATGTAGTTTTTGTGTATCTATTGTTCAGGCCGAAACGTTTCAATATCTCGGACGCATACTTTCTTTGAGATGTTTGTATTGAATGATCTTGCTTCATTTAGTTCTGATATATAAAATGATCGTCTTCTTCTTATTGATCAATTCAAAATAACTTTTCAGGCTTTTTAAGATCTGGTTAACGCTTTTCCCGTCTGTCGTCTGCACAGTATCGCTATGCGGTCTCTTCGTTAGTAGAATAAGTACTTGCTTCTTATCTATTCTATCTATTCTTTAAAATGTATTAAATTTTTTATTTTCAAATTTTATTTAGTTTATCAGCAAAAAATGCCGCGTCTAGGTGTAAAGTCTCTGTGGGAGCATTCTACCTCGGTTTCCGTGGTAACCGTTAAGTTGAACGACGAGTACTGGTTCTCCAATCGTACTGCGCAAGTAGGCAGATCTCACGTAGACCTTTGTCGTTTCCAGAAGCTCAACGTTAACCTAATCGTTTCGAAGTTATGCGATGACAAATCTTGATTTGGTGTTTGAGCAAGTCCGCGCGTTACCAGTCACTCTTTATATTTCTTTAGACGTTCAATCGGAGATAGTTTCTTTTGAATGGTTGTTTTGAATCTACTGCCTTATAATACTTTGGTTTTTCAGTTAGTGGCCACACACTTTAATGTTCGAATGACCCTGTTCATGTTCCCATTATGTTTTCCTATTTGCTAGATTTGCATGAAGAGAAAACTTCCTTTTACTGAGTTTGGTTCACTAATAAAGCGCGTTTCATAAATGGTATGGCTTTCTAATCTTAGTTAGATCGCGTTGAAATCTTCTTTCGCTTATTTTGCCTGTCTTATATGTACCGAGCTGTCTCCGTGTTGATGATTAGGACTTTTCTATTTTTCGTGTGCGCCTTCTGGATCTGGAGAAGCGTTTGGTGCGTTTCTACTCTGGTCGAAGTTTGTCTTGTGGAAGAAAAGTCTTCTCGGTTCAGCACGATCCCCCTTATTTTTTTGGACCTATGTGCTCGAGTAGTCTCTCCAGCTCTTGGTGGCAGTCTTTAATTGCTTGTTTGTTCTTTGATATCTTCTTTCCAATGGGTGGTTTCTTCAAGAACGCGACATCACTGGATTTGTCTATATCATGCTGCGACTGTCGGATACGGTGGTTATTTGACTTTTTCCGTAGCCACTTAAATAATCCATTTATCATCTTAGGCCGAGCTTTCTACGTTTAGGATTTATATCGAGTATAAACCAACAGGTACCCAACTCGTATACTTTGCTAAATGTGCTTTCTGTGATTGTATCACATTATAGGGCATCTTATTGGTTACCTTCTTGTGTGTGATCGTATTCAGAATAAACGACACATTTTAGCAGTTCTATACTAAGAGACCACGGGGGACCGATTTCTCCAAGTACGGTACGAGTTGAAGCTCCTCATCAATTCTCGTACTCATTACTTCAACATTTGTCTAAGTCTTAGACAAACGTTGGAGTGAAAAAGTCTTGAACCATATTAGATAATCTTCTATATACTGGACCGTCTTCCACTTTTAGAAAATATACTTCCCTAAATCTTGAATACGCACCATTTACGCATATGAGCTTTGGCTTCGTCCAAATTGTAGTTGTACACTAATCTGTCAACATGCGTCCCAGCTTGTTTTTTCGAGTTCTTTATAGACAAGATCGGTGCGTAATTCAGTGTGTTTCAAGTTCAATCGTATTAGGAGCCATTAATTCCTATGCTGTTTTTTTATTGATGGATGTGTGAATGAGACAAGGGTACCTATTTATGTATTGTCTAGCTTCGTATACCCGTCACTACTTCGTAAGCTCGAAGGTACGTACAAATTTCCTATGCGATCTATCATGATCCTCCTGCTGTCGTTCCTTGTCACGGGTTTGCTTTTATCGGTAGCTTTTATTTTTCAGCTTTAGCAACTTGCCCTTGCTAAGTTCATTAAAGTTCGCTACATTTTCGGTATCTGGAGGACTTCCGCTAACCTACATCTATCAGCCCCTTTGACCTCTAAGGAAACTTTTTCCTCTGCCAAATGTGCGTAATTCCTGGGTGTCGCTTCACCTGATTTCTGGATCTCTTGGGAAACGGTCTATACTCCTCAAACAATTCGATATCGAGTTGCGGCCCAGTCAATTTTTGATTAGGGACCGCTTCGTTCTCTAATGTTTCAATGGCTAATATCGTGTGCTCTGTATTCATCGCTTTTGTTGCCCGGAAGGCCTGTGAAACACTGCTTCTTTATGTACCTTTTCGACCACAACGATAATAGGCAATATTGTTCTAAATTGTATGTAAATGTTCACGTCTTTATCCCTTCGAAAGGTTAATTTTTTTGTCTTTCAGTTACCTGTACCCTGGATAATATCGCAACAGCTCGATCCGCATCATTGCGAAGGCCTTCCTAAGTTTAGATAGGTCATTTTTAGCACTTCCGATCCATTCCTGATGGATAATTTATCTAAAACCTGGTAAAGAGCCTAAAAGTCTGCTTATTTTATGGCGGTATCGATTACTATGAGTTGACGAATTTTTCGTTGCTTGTTATAGATAGGCTAGAAAGAGAGAGAAGTAAGCTCGGGAGGACGAAAGGGCTTATACCATTAGTGCCAAAAGATAAGTTTTACTATTATAGCTGAACCGGAAGTTTCCATGCGCTTATAGATAAAAGATATTACGAAGAATAGATTGACGTATAACAGATGCGAAGCATACGTTCACATACACTCGTATTTGACTGGTATTTGACGTACGAACTGGTTTCCTCACAGACCGTGAAGTCAACAGGGGAGCAACAAGCATGAGTGGGCCGTATTTCATTAGATTTTGATTTCCGCAGGTGAAACGTTCTGATTAGTATAAATACATGCAGTCTAAGTATCGACTGACAACACGATAAGGTATCAGCTCCTAGCTACGAATAAAGGACCTCTAGTCTGAGAAGATGATGCACAATTGAGACCGTAGCTGTCTAAAGTACAAAATTATTTTTTTTAATTGTGATTTTTTTCCTCATTATAGATTTAAATGAAACCTTTTTCCAATAGTATATATAGCAATGATACATACTCGAGTTTATGATTCTCTACTATACAGAACCTTCATACAAACAAGCAGTTCCAATCAGAATATCAAGCCTATAGCTATTTCCCCCCAGCGTGGATTATAGTCAATATAAATGGTCGCCCCCTACCTCAGTTCTCCATAGTCGCAATTAGGCAAATAAATGAGTGATGCTATCTATTTCTAACAAGCTATGATATGTAGTAGGCGAAGTACGAACGAGATGAGGAAGCGATGGAAGTAGGGAAGCACGAGCTGAATAAAAAAGCTTCACCTTATAGACAGTAGAAAAAAGTAAAAATCAATGAGAACGAAAAGGAGGCGGGGGGGGGGGGGGTCAGTACGTGAACTGGGGGGATAACGGAAGGCTAAAGTAGAAGTGGTACACAGACCATTCTGAAGACAAGTGAGTTTCGTTTGCGCATATTTTCGGCGTGCGGCGAGCTGATGTATTCAGCAACAATCTGTTTCCAACGTCGCCGACATAGCCATCCCCGGAAAAAACTCTGTACTTTTTTAATCTTCTTAATTTCTTCACTTTCCTCGCTCGTAGGCAGTGTGGACGTTCCATCGCTGGCTAGAAGCATGGGCCGCGACGGAGTCAGACGCCATTCCTTCTTTAACGTGCACAACTGAAACAAAAACCGAAGCAAAACACGATATAAAACGCATTTTTCTAATCGATGAAACATGTACATACATGTGCATGCTGAAGGTATGTATGTGTACAAATAATTCACGTGTTAATGTATCTGAATTATGAGAAATGCATATCAGTATTTACTGATTTGTTTTCTTTCAAATAAAGTCAGATTGATAAAGCAACGGACTAGAAGTATCCCGTCGGAGAAGATTAAAGCCATCTTAGGCCCATTGATCTTTATTAGATTTTCCCGTACAAAGTTCGAAGATGAATAGATACACGTAGATGAGCTCGAACACTACTCAACTGTCAACCTTGTACCGTGCTTGACCCGTTTAGATTATCGCTTGGGTAGATATTCAACTATATGGAAGCGTTCGCCACATAGAATATCCATGTAGCTAGCACCTATGATAGCACAAAAATACAGAATGGCTGAATTATGATACGAAATTAAATAAGTAACATTGTTGCATATATATATATATATATTGCAAAGTAACATGTTCCATATATATATATATATATATGTGTCTGGAAAAAATAAATATAAAAAATGTGAAAATTACAAGCGAGCAAGATCTTCAAAAATTCAAGTCGAGCAAAAGGCAGAAATCACTTTATCATCAGTTGGATTAGTCGAATGTGGGTAAGTAAACAAGTACGATCTAATTGTTTGATAGACAACAGGATCAAGAATCATGTCAAACATCAGCAGCTAGAACACTCGGTTAGTTTTATCGCCGATATCCCACACGTGATAGCGTGATGTTCTGAATGTAAAACTTTGTCTATTGAACTGATCCTAAAAACAAGCCTTGTTCTGTTAGTGATAAATATGCCCGTGTCAGAAATGGACGACCGTGAGGGAAAAATTCACAGCAAACTCAGCCTTCCCAGGTCAGCAATCGTTGTCTGGAGGACATTCTTTTTAGTCGAATATACGTTAGACTACCTAAGCCTAACTTTGGCTGAAAGGAAGAAGGAGACGATACTGAGTGCTACTTAACTAGCTTTGCCGATTTTAGAAAAGTATAATTAAGGAGACGGCGAGCTTGTACTCATAGCGCTAGTCCCCTTGTGGTTTATAGATATGGATGAGGAAGGGGGCTACCTCTGTTTGAATATGTATCAAATCCGAAACTGTAAATAATATAAAGCCTCCATGCTTGAAACCTATAAACACTGCAACAAACATTTAACATGAGCCTTTGAACACACTACTTAATTAAGTACACACTCAGCTCCTGCCAAAACATGTTGGTCCAGGAAATTCTCTCCTGATTTTTGCAATTTACAGTTCCTGAAATACAATCATATGCATCGTAACTGGCACGAATTATACAGCGGCTCTTGTCTATTGTTTTTTTTTTCCTATTTGCTACCATTGAAAAACTCATCCTCTGTTGTCAACGTTTTTCTGGGGTTACAAAGCCTTACCTAAAGTTTGGACATATGGGCATGTGTCAACGAGGTGGTTAATACGTATTAGGTTTCTCCTTGAATGTCTGACAAAAATTATCCATCCTTAGCCGAAGTCAGAAATTATAGGAAAATCCGGAATAAGTGAAACGCGCACGATAAGGAGTCTATAGCTAACAGTATTATTTGAAAGCGGCTAACCAAATTCGAAAAATTATACCTAGGGGTTAACGAACGGACCCCACTTGACTTGTCGACTTTGACGAAGATCAGCTCGAACCACTTTTGAAGGAAGGTGATGGTTGGTTGAGTTTATGTATGTCTCTTAGCTGTAGAGTTCTTACCGTGCGTGAAACAAATATTCTAGGTTGCTTCTGCAGCCTTTTGACACGTACGAAAGGGCTTAGTGCAGATTCGCTACTTTCCCAGCCTATAAAATCATCTTTGAAGTTCGAACTTCAGCTGACATTTCATCGTCGTAACGTGAAATGGCAACGCAGAAAAGGTCTCTATTAGATAACACTGGACCATGAAACGTGGTAATAAACATAAGCGGCTAATACTTACTCAACAACCTAGTAGATCACGGTAAATATTTTAAATGTCTATTAATTTTAATTTTTCTAGACACTCAACTCCGTCGAGTGTGACGACCTACTAGCACCGATCTCGCATCAAGTTCTTCAACATCAAACACGAACAGGGCCTCTGCTTAGGGTGAATTTCCACCTAGTAACTCGAACCGTCATGTTATATTTAGTGTCCCATTTGCTCATTATGTCTATGCTAAAGCTATCTTTTATTCTACTTTATAAGTTTCTGATAATTTTGGCAATGTTTTTATCGTTTATCATTAAATGTGTCGTGAACAGTGTCGGCTGTAGCGTTAGCTGTCCTGCCTTTTTCCCGGGGATCCTTGTTACCCCATTAGATTTATAGCAGTACCTCCTAACATTTCTGCTATAGCGTCCTCTACATTACGCGTGTTTGATATTCGCTTGTGGCATTGACATAGATGCGACTATTGTTGTAAAATTGGTCCCTTTTATACATAACGCGCTAAGGCGTTTTTGATCCGGATACAAACGATAGATTTGCGTAGAATCTGTTGAAAACCGGTGGGCATTCATTTTATGTGTGGCTCCTGACGCCAAAACGCAAACTGTCTTTAGATGTCTAGCGACAGAAGAGCGAGAGATTAAGTGAGAAAACAATATAGAGCCTGTACAAGTATTACTGATTTTGGGCCGGATAATTTTATCGCATCATTCTATTCAGAGGCCAACATAACTTCTGGACATTTATCTCGTATGTCTTAAATAGCATCCACATCTATTATCTGAAATTGATCTTATTTTCGAATATCCTCAAAAACTTTGTGTCGTTTCTATATAATAAAGAGAAAATAATTTTCATATGTCCAAAATGCGTATAATATTAGGTATTTACATTTGTTCCCTGTCTGCTTAAAGAACGTAGTCTCGGTGTACGTTTGAAATAAGTAAATTTGACTATGACTACATAGCCTCAATTCGATAGTTTTCGTTATTATATATTATATATAATAACATATATACATATTTCGATTGGCCATAATTTGTCATCGTCGCAGCAGTGATGCTTGATCCTAGTGTAAGTAGTTGGATAGCCATACTGGTCAACAAAGCCAGTGTTCAATAAGTGCATCGGGCGTTTGTTTGCGTCATCGTTGATGCACGTTCACCAGTCGCCTTACATTTGTACATATTTATATATATATATATATATATATGACCACTTAGGCTCGTGCGTTCTGGAGTTGATGCTTGCTATGTACCGTAAATGAAGGTACTGCTCTACCTGGTAAATAAACGTTTACGTACGACAAACCGCTCAAAGGACAGCCTACATGTCACATCGGTCTAGCTGTTGTAGCAGATGCACCCCGTTGCTTCAGAAACGCTCTAGTGTCGTATAGTCCGAGGAACCTTCGTCTTCGGCGACAGCTTCGGCAAGGTCGTAATGGGACGTAGCGTGGGGATATACAACGACGAGTCTACGTTGGTGCACTGGAGGAGCAGGCACAAGAAGCAGGCCAACCCACGGGCGAGAGTAGGCATCGAACGTAAAACCTACTGGTTATTATCAAGAATCGATAAAGAAAGTCGAGTCGAAGCATCCATCTACCACTGCTCTATTGCTGCCGTTCAAGCGGTGCTCGTACGTTTTGAGCTTTCGACGGCGACCCTGTCCCTACAGCTGAGCTCATATCTACATTCCTACCTGCACACATATATGTGCAGTGAGATCAAGTTTGTGCGCGGGTACTGCACATCGCACATGGAAAGGCGAAGGGCCAAATGCGCATACGTTTATTTGTATCTGTGTTAAAAAACCCATCAAACGACGGCAGCTGAGATACCGTTTCAACTCAAAGTTTACTGCATTTCAAAATTCGCAATACCAAGATGACTGTTGCTGCTAGAGTTGCTATGTTGAGTCTACCTCAGTGAGTTCGGATCCGATTGGATGGACGTCTGTAGAACAAGCTAGAGAGGGAGTCCCCATGGCCCCTGTGTTTCCTTAGTGCTCTCGCCTCGCATTCGGTGTTCTCATGGCGTCTCAGTATCCTCATCAACCGCGAAGCAACAACAAAAGCTATATCGGGAATAGCCAAAGTATCAGCAACAACGACAACAATGGGAACAACAGATCTAATGGCCGACGTTAGCAACGCCACAATGGTGTAACAGCAGCTCGCCGCGAAATACAACGAAACACCTTCGCTATGTGCAAATCAAGGCTGGAGCAGTAGGAACTATATAATAACAGAGCGACAGCGTAAACCTTCAAAATGCATATACGATTATGTATTTCACGGACGCGGCGCGAGGGTAAAGGACGACTAGAAGTTACAAAGGAATAACAACGTCCGGCTACTGAAAATGAAAGTCTCCGGTTTCCTGTGCCACTGGCCCCGTTTTCGCCGTTCACCTACTGCAGTTGTTACTAGCTTTCAACGTAATACTCTCCCATCGGTTGTAGTACCTACTAGACTCGGAAGTAAAGAAAGTAATGAGAAGTATTTCTGCCAGGCGGCCGAGCCCACCTCTAAGCTACGTACATCTTTCTTGATCAAAAAGATAGAATACTAAATAGGAAGAGATAATACACAGCTGGAAAATACCACCGAACAATTACATTCGAGTAAACAGTATGGCGAAAATATTTTTAATGCGTCATCGTAACCAATAGCCGCTTATAAATGCTGTTTAATAATTTACTTGAATATACTTTACGGTCATTGCTCTACGATTCAGGGGGCAAACTTCGATCAATTTCAATCTGTCTATTTTCTACCAATTAATCAAATACATTATTCACCTTCAACATTATTAATCGGTACGTTCGAGCTCCTTTATAGTTAAGTTAATTGTCGGACATCAAAACCTGATTGATAGCCTACTGTTTTTAGATCTGTCACCAAACATTTGTATTCCATAGTGGGATATGGCGCGGGAATAGAGGACAACGGAATACGGGATATGCTTTACGAGGCCACCCGTTTTTCATCTGCTACTGGGGAGC